CACTTCAGTGTTTTTTCTGGTCCTTCGGGATCATTGATGCCAGCGCTATTAAGTGTTTAGAATTGAGTACCGTTCAAGCCAGTGCTAGGGCGTGAGGGATGTTGCACTTGTTCATTATCCCTCATGTGCAGACTCAATTAAAATCGAATCTGCAATTCTTATGTAATTTTGTTGTGATTAATGCTTCCGAGGATCACTTTGTTCCAGATTTTTAATATACTTGTTCAAAGCTTATGGTCTTAAATTTCATTCAATATTCAATTTCCTTTTAGAATAAAGTATCTAAAGGAAGCGACGTTATTTTTTTCCGAATATATGAGTGTGGATTTAAGAGAAAAAGAATAAACAACACGATAAATTAGAAACATTTTTTTTAATACTTCTACATAATTAATTTTCATTTTTAAGGCATCACTAGAAAGTTCATAAAGGATTCTTTTACTTGAGTCTAAAATTATCAACGCCGCCTTTCCTTGATGATCTTGTTTATTAATCAAAATTGACCAAGAAATAAAAAAAGTAAGTAGGGGGGTACCATGTTTTTCTTACTGAATTTCAGAGTGTGTTTTTTTTTACTTGGGGATCATATCTTATGCCCCGTTTTTCATGGTATGGCACTTACGTGTCACATTGAAGGTTCCATGATAATCGCCATATTAACACATCTGCGGATGTTTTCAAAATTGTTACCAGTTCATGTTGAATTTTGCTTAAGCCGGTGCTAGGGGGCGTGGACATAACTTGCTCTTTCCATTACCGTCCATGAGCAGGCTCAATCAAACCGGGCCTGTAACATTCTCAATTTTGTCGTTTGAGCGTTCTTTAGGGATTCTTATTTTCTCTATTTTACAGAAAGTAACATGATAAACTTTTTAACGAAAAGTTAATTCAGTTTGATTTAATTCATTTTTAATTTTAGGCATTATATAATTATATATCATAAATCGTATGAAGCACACTTTTATTTCAATCCAAAATTATCAAAATATATTACGAACTTAAAAAATGTTTGGAGGGAACGCCGTGTTTTCTTACCAATTCGAGAGTGTTATTTTCAGAGTAAAAAAGCTAAAAAATTCAATACATCTATTTAATTCATTTTTATTTCCGAGGCACTAATAGAAAGCTTATGGAGTAATCTTTCATTTGATACCAATAATATTGGACTTTTTATAGAAAATAAAAAAAAAGTTAGAATGGACGCCGTGTTTTCCTTCACTTTATTGAGAAATAGAAGAGAGAGGCGACGGTATTATACCTGTCCGTACATTTCCGTGATAGAAGATCGTAAATACTCAGAGAGAGGCGGGGCGTCATGCATGACTTAGAATCGTTTAACTTTGTGAATCTACTTTTGTCATTTTAAAACATGTAACTGTGTAAACGTACTGTTGTAGTTCTACGACTGGAAACACGTTTTATTAAATTATATTTTCTGCATTCGAGTTTTACATTTCATTTGTGTTTTTCAGGTACAGATATATATCTACAAGTGTGTAAAAAATGCTTATGTATTATATGCAATGTAGATACGAACTTGTAAATGTGTTGTTGTTCTCCATGTTAGGTCAGTTGTGTTAAGATTTACATGTAAACTTGTTATTTAAAAGCGGGTGCCTTCAATTAAAAGATTGGATAAGAGGCATATCATTTTGCTGTGCACGAATGCAATAAAAATGCTAGACATACATGTTTGCATTTTCAAAAGTAGTTTTCAAAAAAGGAACACATTACAAGTCTGGAATTTGGCAACGATCGCCCCTCCATAGATACAGCGTGGTCAGAACCTACATGCCCGGAAGAGTTGCCTCCCATTAGACTCCGGATAAAGTCATATATTTAAAGACTTGCTTGAAATATCTGTACTTATTTTCTATTCCACAAGTGCAATAAATTTAGTAATGAATCAACACGATAATGACATTCTAGTAATAACATGCCCAAAATAAGTAGTTTACAGTGACAAAGAATCATTTTTTTTTTCATTCAAGCATTTGCACAATCTCCACACAGTGATCTCCCCTTAATTCTTCGGCGTTGATCTCTGCCACCAAGGTCCCGATATATCAGAATTTCTGATATATTATATTTTTTCAAAAATTGTTTTATCTACTGCTTTTATCTATCAGATAAGTTTTCTCTCATTTATTTAACAATGTTTATGAATAAAATAATATAAATAATATGAATATTTAGAAATAATTTAAAAAAAATGAAGATTATTTTCTACCGAGACGATATTTTGATATTTATATTTTTTTTAGCTTTTGAATTTATTTTTCGTTATTTTGTATTCTTTCGATAATCTTGTGATAAACTATATCGAACGTAGGCACTAAAAGTTAAAAATAAAACAGAAAGAGAAAAATAACGTTAGATTTTTTTTTAACTCTATTTCTTTTAAATTTTTCGACTTACTCAGGACTTTATCATCAATTTGGGACATTTGAAGCATGATTACAATTTCCCCAAAAGGGAACACTTGAGGATTTGGCATTTTGCTCGTAACGCTATCATTTGGGCGCATCTCACCGTTGAAACGAAAATGACTTGCTCAACATTAAAAACAAACCTTTTATACTGACCCCCAAAGGCCAGGGATTTTTAAAGGGATTTTCTTTACTTAGAAAATTTAGCACACATAGACAAAATGTTTTTTCACATTTTGACACGAAACCCTACGGGTTTTAATTTAGATAATTCGCAACTTAAAACTTATTTATGAAAAATCACACTTCGAATAATCTTTTTTAAAATTTGAAAAGAAAAAACCTATACATATATTTCACGTATAATTGTATCAGAAATATAAAGATAAATGCTTGCATTGCGACTTTTATATCGAGTAGATGGTTTTGGTGAAAACTTACTGAAAATATACCTATTTTATTATCATTTGACGTCAAATTACGGATCAATAACTGTTGGATAATACATATCCCTCTGTATATTGGAAAAAAAAGAAAAAAAATTAATGTTTTATTTCATATAGCAATTTCAGAAAGTCGATGTTGCTTAATTTTTGGACAGTATTTGATAGTTTCATTAGATTGTCAACTGATCATCTTATTAAAACACTTTCTTAAAATCATCTTTAACTATTTACGTTGCATACAAATGCATTCATATGCTATAATTCATGTGTGTTTTTTTTTTAAATATTTGTTCAAAATGGTATCATTTACAATCTTGAAATTTAGCACATACTTGTTAACTACATATAACATATCCACACATTCAGCTAGCTTACGGAACGCCGATCGTACTACCTGCCTGCTCGAGCCTGAAAACATGTATTGCCATCCGAGGTATTCCTCCACCAGTAAAACCTTGATTTGATATTAATTTACAGAACTAGTTGTAATCTTTCACACAATTTGTAGAATATCATGTCTTGATAAATAACAAAATGTAAAGAATTGTATGAGCACAGTATAAACGGTTATGAGATCATATGACCCGAGCCGCAAAGTAGTTATGGCAAACAATCGTTAGTACACATTCATACATGGGCATTAAAAAATCTTTAAAACGAATAAATGATAATGCACAATACGAGTGAATGAATTAGAGGTCACTGTTGTCCAGTAAAATTTGCGTTATAAACGTGCGATATTAGAATTTTAGTTATACATATGTTTGGCAGGATTATATGGCATAGTATAAATAACCCTTGCAGTATTACATATATTTTCACTATACTGTAGATATCCACGGTGATATTGAAGAAGATTACATATCTCGTTTTAAATATATACAAATGTATGACCTAATATCGCAACTTTTATAAACACATAATTATTATCATAAAGCTATTTCTGACTGAACTATTTAAAACTCCATCATTTCATATTAATATCAAATTCAATGCAATAATTAAACTGTTTTTTATATACTGTTATATTTAGCAAGATTCTTTCAGTTACAGAATTCTAAGAAAATAATTATGATCAAAACATGTATTGTCCAAACATGATACTCAATGTTATATGTAATATTTATAAATGCATAAGTGTAAAGTTTCATCAGATCTTAGCAATTGTTTTAAGAAAGGTAAAGTATATACCATTTATTTAGATACAGATTTCAGTGATGGCGTCTAATAAATATTATCATTAAATTGGTAATATATAATATCTTCCTATTATATTTACCCTGAAGTAATTCAGCTAATTCAATGAATAGTAAAGCAATTGTTTTCTTTGTTCTGATGACTAAATAGAATGTTTTAATGAAAACATCTATAGTTAATGTTTTTTATACGTAATACATATAAGCATTAAGTAAAAATGATATAAGGGAAAATTTGAAATATCTATGTTGTTGACACTTTTGATAGATCCTCCAATAGGAGCAATATAATAACGTAAACCACCTTTCTGTTAGTAGCATTAACTTTTCTTATATAGTAATAACGATATCACAATATTCAAATTGTATGAAGTGTTAAAGACTTTAGGTTGAATATGGAAAACAATTTATACTCTTATTACAACTACTGACATAGAAATCCCGTTGTAGATCTACCATTTCTTGTAACAAGCTTCCATTTTGGAATTTAGTCGCACACTTTGATATTTGAAATCATCATTGTAACTGTTCCATTTTAAACGTTACAGGTCCATTTAATGTATAATGTGTACCAGTTACCAATTTTATCATTTTGACTGTTGTAAAGGGCCCAACTGAGGTCAAATAGCCTCAAAACATAAAATTTGAAATTCTTACATATATCAAGTAAAACATTTAAAAGGAAACCAATTTGCAACGAATCATGACAATGTATTCTTAGAATTATAATAAAAACCGATTTTTGTGCCATTCTTAGCCAGACTGAAGTAAAAAGCGTTGCAAAGCTTGAACTTCTGACATAGAAATTCCGTTGTAGATCTACCATACCAGCTTCAATTTTGGAATTTAGTCGCACACTTTGATATTTGTAAATGTGATTTGAAATGATTATGCTCATTAAAAATATCCAAAATAAGCATTGCCAAATGTTGCATATTTAACTTTTTATTACATTAATACTGATAAACAATCAAAAGATCAGGTATGAATATTACTGTTAACTCCAGTCAATCTTGAAATTAATTAACGATTTTTGTTATCTGGCTATTAATATAAAAATCACGGATATTTGTAGAGACACCAAAATAAACGATAGTATAATCATAATAAGTTCAAACTGTCGTTTAATGCATAGTTTCTTTAATTTACATTCTGCTCTTTGCTTGTTGAGATCAACACAATCCTCATACATAAACATGATCATTCTCCAGCGTTCTTGTAAAGCGTCTATAGCGTTCGTCACTGCGCGTTCTTGTAAAACTCTTTCTCGAATTTTCTCGTACGTTTCGGTATCATGTCCACATTCCGGTTCTGGCCTACTTGAACGCTTACTTGAACGTCTCTGAAATTAAATTAAATAATCCTCCTTTAAAATGACCCCGAAACATGCATTGTTTGATATGCAATCGTATATTGGTATTAGAAGTCCCGAACTGTTACTTATATAACTATACAAATAAATACTTGGCCGGATGACATTGAATCCTTAAGGTTATATCTAAGACAGATATAAGATATGATGGTATATACAGTCTTGGTTATTTATGTAAACTATGCTTAAGTATTTTAAATTTAATAAAGTATCATTCAATAATAATCAAGTGAAGTGTCGATTTTTGATATGAACACATATTTTGTTTACCTAAATGACAAATGAAATTAATTTGTACTTCATTCTGCTTAATATTTTACTTATCAATATTTGTTATCGAAATATTATGTAATCCTGATCACGCAGGAACGGAAAATGATTAGGAGCCACTACCAGTATAGAGCTAGGCCAGTCTGCAGTTTCATGAGTTATTACAAGATCCATCAAAGCCTTATTGATAGCTCAATGTTTATAATTTGATATTGAAATGTTTTAAATGTTGAATGGACATTTTCAAAATCCATTTCACAAAACTTGTAGGTTAAAATGTTAAAGGTTAAGGAAGACGTGAAATAGCATATACATAGTACATGTACATTACTGTCGGGATAACTGTAGCTTTGCAAAACGCTTAAAAGAAAATTAATAATAAAATCAACAATGATCAATAATAAAGTTTTTCTGCTAGGCTTATTGATGAATCAAAAGGTGAGTTAACAATAACGTGAGTTCAGATGTGCAGCGAAGAGTTATTCTGATAATTAACCTACTACAGCTTTATGGGCACGGTGCCAGAAAATTATCTTCATTTTCCTAGCTAAAATAACATATGTGTTTATCACCTGTTACACATATCCCATCTATGAAAGGCATTACAGATGTATTAACAAATAAAAGTTTTATCGTTACTTTGATAATATATACGTTTTATTGTTATTCATTTAGATTTCTGCGAGAAACCGACTTTAAAGAGCAACAAATCTTACCCGAATAGATCGGCGTTTAAAAGATCCAGAACTTAGTGTCGGATGCTTCTTATCAGATTCGTGCTCTCCGCCTGTATCCAAAGAAACTGATTTGTTAATTTTTGCTGGCACCTCTGTTTGGATTTTGCCTTCAGAAGTTGGCACTTTTGGTCCTTCTATAGAAATGTAATCAGCAGAGTCGCTTTTTGCAATAGCAGAATTAACTTCGCGTTTTGCAATAGCAGAATTCACTTCTTCTTTATGTTCCATTTTTTAAGCGTCATCCGCCGAGTAGTGATATTATTTCAATAGCTGAATATATTTTACAAATATCCTTTATGTTTTATATGGCACTGATTTAATACCGTGTATTTCCTTTTACGTTATCAATGCTGGTACAATCAATCTAGTTTGATTACTATAAGTAGAATTGCCTTCAGGAGCATCTCTTTATATCACCCGATCTTACAATCATTTTGTTAAAATAAGCTAGAATGTTCAAAATAGAGCTACAATCGTTAAGCACTACATACCTTGCACATTTTAGAATCTATATATATCGCGCCAGTACCTTCACACTGTGAAGAAAATTAGCATCTTATTTACGGCACAGAGCTCACCTGTTGATAATTCCTTGTTAGAGTGTATGCTAGATAGAATATGCGTACATTTGTATTTCAATGTGTACACCTGGCAACGATGTTATATTTCACAACACTCAATGAACTTGTTTTTAAAGCATATCTATTCCCTTTTATTATTCACAATATCCATCCATTAACTGTTTCAATTTAAACCTGTATAATATATAGAATATGCAAAAAGATCAAAGTCACATTTCTCTGTTCATTAGTTCATTTTAGACTGAACGGCACGTTCTAATCATGTTTCTTTCGTTGTACGAATAAACCGATATTCGCACAGCAATCTTAACATAAACTCTCCAAAAATTGTACGACGATGTAAAAACTACAATCTTCATTCTTTGTTATTATTTTAAAAGCATCCATTTAGCTTTATCTTTACTTAATGCTGCTAAATTAAAATATAAAAAAATGTTTTGTTAAATCCTGTTCAAATAACATATAATTTTAATCTTGAAAATTTAATATAAAAGATGTACATATTTCAGTTTTAATCACGACTGTTTGTTGAATACGCATGATCGATCATTTATAAATAATAAGCTGGCGTAAAAGTATCATAATTTTCAAATTTAAATCAATCATTTTAATGTTGTCCCTGCTCTTAACATTTAACGCAGACACATTGTATTCCTCCCTCAACCACAAAGATTCATAAAAACTGAGCGGAAAAAATATTTAAGATTAAAAACTTTGTACAATAGTGTTCTAAGATACATGTATTTAGAGAAACAGAAGCGGAAAAAACACGACTTTTTATCAAGTTTGATTAAATATGATATTCTGGACACCATACATATATAACATTTTATTAAAAAATATCGCATAGAATTGTTGAAATTACTTTATCTCTTTATTTTCCATTGAAATATTTCTTTTGAAGTCGTAGGACAAAGTTTACATGGAAAGTCGGCAAACTTAAGTGAATAAGAATTAGGTCCCATTCGTTTGTTAGCGAAATACATTTTTTCCATTATACCTTTTGAAGAAAATGCAACAGTCATATCATAATGTTAAAACTTACATAGAAAAAAACCGAATACAAATAACTTCAAAATGCAAAACGTGCCTACAGTATAGTTCATATATTTGTATATATTCGGCAATAGACTTTTATCATCACATTTCTGTCACATAAATCCTCAAACTTAATTGCACTTATCACAAATTGCACATATCGTTTTTGGTAATTCATCGACCTAATTTATTTAAGGATTTATTCCATACAGCATTACATTTTGATCAACCAATATGTTTTTAAAAGAAAAAAATAAAAAGACAAAACCTGTGGATTTCTAAGGGAATGTGTGACTTATTTTTATATTGCTTATTCCAGACAGAAACACTTTGGATACTGCATTTCTTCATGCCTGATCACATAATAACATAGTTTAGGCAATCAGCGATATAAAGTTTATGAATCTTGGGAATGTATCTAATCATTATTTTCAATTTACATACTCGAAGAGTTCTTTAAGGCACAATATGTCCCACAAATCCATATTAAATTTTATCGATTTTTTTTAGAAATGTGTTTAATTATGTTTTGATAATGGATTTAGTTCAGTTTACAGATGTTTGTAAGTAGCGCTGAATGTGCAGGAATGTGCTGTTAAGGTAGCAAAGTGTAAACAAAAAGTATTTTGACTTCCATACAAAATACTAATTCGCTATAATTATACTAATTCCAATCAAAGCAAAAGGAGTAAACAAAGTTCTTCTTTTTTTTAGAAATAAAGAAATAAAAATGATAGCATTTCTGAGGCATAATGGACCTTTGAATCTTTAGGAAAGGACAAATTTATCATTTTAACCATAAGCTTGCAATTTTAAATAGTTAACTGTTGCCCCCTGTCTATATCTTTTGTTAACGTAATCTTTTGTTAATATCACAATTATTAATTGTATATAAACTGAAAAGATGCTATCCATATTTGAGAGACAATATTCGGTAATGTGGTACATAATCAAAAATGAAGCTGTGATAGTTGTTTTTAAAAGTTAATCAGTAGTGGAATATCTGAAAAATAGTAGGTGTCATTTTCTTTGCCAGTCTTCCGGGCTCCAGTAATTAGAAAGAGGTTTTCATACAGATATACGAGGGGCTATCCAAAAATTCGTGGACTTTTTAAATATCTCTTGAACGTCAGCGTGTATTGTAATGAAAATTTATCAGCATACATTGTAGAATATTATAAACACATTTTGAAAGGAACAGTTAATTGTGTCAATAAATAATGATTTTATATTGCTTTTAAATAAGCACATACACGGCACCCGGCGCACGGTAGAAAAACGCAGTAAGTCAGCGTATATTTCTTGCTAAAAAACTAAAAATTAAACCTAGAAAACCCGCTGAACATCGCATGTTTCTTCTATGATGTCATTTAAGTAATTCTCTAAAATAATGGACGTCATTTCCGTTTATTTCTGTTGATATCGCTGGAAACGCCAGACGCCTTTATTGTTTACAAAGGGAAAATGACGGACACGTGGTAATTAGAAAATCGCACGATCATAAATAATCATAAATTTTGTTGCAATTTGGAAATGACACCTACAAAAACATTTGATAAAAATCAACAGACAAACAGAGGAAAGAAAATATCACGATCATCAGTGTTAAAATGGCATAAAAAATTTAGAAATTAACATTACTTTGAGAAGCAGTAACCGTCATTGATTGCGTAACGTAGAAGCAAAAGTTGTACGTTAATATTATGACGTTGACGTCAATAACTTTTTGAAGTGCGCCGCTGTCGCCGACATGTGTTTATATAAAATTAAATATTGTTGTAATGTAAGAAGCTACTCACATGAATTTTTCTGTGTTTATTTGTTATTAATTCTTCTAAGCAGTGTAAGAATTTCAAATTAATATCTCAAATATATTTTACGCAACAAAGAAAGTCCACGAATTTTTGGATAACCCCTCGTACATTGTATTTAAGAGACGTTTCAAACCTTAGTATCCTAGTTATAGAGCATAATTTTTCCTCTGCCATATTGATGTTTAATAAAAAATACTTTAGACCAATCAGAAGAATCCATGTTTAAAAATATCATTTCTGCGTTATATGTGCGACTAGCAAATCTCTATGTGAAGTCTTAACTGTTGAATTTTTGCTCAAGCCATTGTCAGGAGGCGTGTACGGTAGCTTGCTATTTCCAGTACCATACATGAACAGGGTCAATAAATCTGGGTTTGCAATAACTTAAATTGAGCCGCTTTGGACGTTCTTTAGGGATTTTTTTTCTCTGTTGAATCTGTATAACTATTTTACTATTCAGTTCTTATAATCTTTATATCATACTTAATCGGCGCGGGATACACGCTATACTAGATATTTAATGAAAGCGTTTCTCTGTAGGCAATTATTGCTCTGATACTTGAGACATATTATGTTTATTAAACTTAAAAATCGAAACATTTAAACAATTTGGTATTTCGCATTTGTTTAGGAGTTGTTTTTTTTTCTCTCTCGACAAATTTTATTTGATACACTAAATTATTACATTTTGATACGCCGATAAAAGAATGACACAATCATTGATATGACGTTTGAACACAGTTTGTCAATGTAAGAGGTAACAAGAGAACAGTGACTGTGTCACATGCTTAATATTTATTTAATTTAGATCTGAAGTCATGACAAAAAAAGGTACATGTAAACTCAGATAGATGAAATTTTAGATAAATGTGAATTTTGAAATTATTTGAAGATAAGAAAATACGAAACGCAAATTTTTATCAAGGGTATTTTACTCACTAAATCTAATTATCTTCGTATGAACTTATTATAAGATGTATAAACATTGCGGAGAATGTAGCTGCCAGTCAGTCACCCATCATTGAAATATTCTTCTAGATACCTCTACAAAGGTGGCGCAATGGTCCTATATTTAGACTGCAATTTCATCCAGGGTCTATACAGAGCATTTACAAGTCAAACATAACTGTAGTCTGAGACCATGTCTACCACGGAAATCGTAACTTGTTCTCAATTATTTTTACTAGACAGGAACGGATGTGGATGTCTGCTATATATCTGTTGGCATTCTATCTGTCATAGTTTGGCTACTTGTGCATTCAATTATTGTCAATTTAATGAAGAAATATCTAGTCTTGGAGATGGGATATATATATGGATCTTAGTATATTCGGACTTGAACAACGACACTATACACGATAACACTCTTTTACTATCGCGTATCAAACGTAAAGTACATGTATCTTGAATTGAATCATTTGAATGTTAATCAAAATTAAGTTATCTGAAAACTATACATTTGCTATCCTTCGTGGTCGGTCATTGTCATGGAAACACTTAACATATAATACATATGACACATATAGCATATTACAACTTTGAACAATGCAACAGACAATACAGACTCTCTCTCCATCAATATGTTCTTTCCTTTAAAACAATTTCAAAGTAAACTAGTATAATTATGATAAAGATAAGAGCTGCTTACAGTTTTACGTTCAACAAATTCAGTTATTTACTATCCGACACCAGCAAACTTTAAGTATACTACAGGTTCATACTCATTATCTTTCAAATTTATATACATTTAGACAAACTGTGTACAAAGCAACGACATTTGGTACATTCTTTCGTCATACTTTACAAAACGTTTCGAATAATCTTTATATCCCTTTTTAATTGGCACAACAACAAAAGTGTGTGGTCTTAGTGCAAATGTATTTAATGATATCTTTTTAAAACATGTTTATTAGAGTTAAAATGAAACATTTGAAAAATAACCCCCCAAAATGTGAACATGCATACAATATTTTGTAACTTTAAGAGACTAACTTTATTTAGGTGGGAGTGAAATATATGTTTTTTTCCGTTTTAACTGTTGATTGGGTCATTTTAATTATTCATGAACGTAACTCTGTCGAATAATTTGTTGTTAGCGATGGATATAATCAAAACATTTTAACATTTGACAGATCAATTCCGATAGAATGATTTAAAATCATGTTTATTATAAAAAAACTAATTCCACAAATATTAAATAACAACATGATAACTGACAAAAATTTATTCATATAAAATCTCAATATAAATTGTCAATTTATTTCCACATATGAGCCGTGCCATGAGAAAACCAACTTAATGGGTTTGCGACCAGCATAGATCCAGACCAGCCCGCGCATCCGCGCAGTCTGATCAGGATCCATGCTGTTCGCTTACCAATCCTATTACAAGTAGAGAAAGTGATAGCGAACAGCATGGATATCAGACTGCG